TTCCGTTTACCCAGATATAAACCGAATGCACGTGACAGCTGTTATCCAATCAAATCGCGTGAAACCATGTAAACGGAATCATGATTTAATTATTTGGTGATAATTCCAGACAAGAATGCCAAGAACATTCTGGAAATAACAACTGTCAAAATTTAGCTGAATTGGCAGAAAATTATGATTTTGAAAAGTGTTATGAAGAGCTGAAATTGAGCTCTCTCAGCACCTACACCAAAATCTGATCTCAGAGCAAGAAGATTGCAGGCATCTATCTAAATAAGCTCCATGAATTTACATAAAAGGTTAACAAGTTTCATATCCATTAATTTTTCTTATCTACATAAACCTACAATAAGCTATAAATAATGTCAAATGCATGTACAAACTTCATAGTAAACGCATATGGACTTGAAATTGATGTTTCTTCTAAGCTAAGTATTGTTTTTTTATGAAAAATCAATGCCTGAACAATGTTATTATGATATAGTTAATGTACTTTTTTAACTCAAGCACCAAACAACCTTATGACATATATGTACAACACTGGCTTTTTTTCATCAATACCAATCATCTGTGTTGATTCATGTCTGGCAGAATGAATATTATTTCTGTTGTCTGCAGATTCCTCACTCCTGTGGAGAATTTATAGGTTTCCCCTAAAATGGCTGGTGCTTTATTCAGCATTAAAACCTACTTTCCATATTGATTAAACATTTCATGAAATTAAATAAATCATGAACTTTATCATGCTAGGCTATATCAATCCTTTTAATTATGTTGTAATAATGTTATGTAATAGATCAATAGTATTATTACATTATGTTACGAAAACACCAACATAATATACTTAGTGTATCTAACTGACATTAATGTAGAAAAAGCAATGAATATATCTAGTTTGTTATGCTAATCTACATTATATGTGCCAATCTACATTTCATGCATCTATTAAGTGAGTGTTAAAGATGTTATGTAATAAAAAGAATGTGTCTATTTAGTAAGTATTAAAGATACTATATAATAAAAAGAGAGTGTCTATTTAGTGAGTATTAAAGATACTATATAATAAAACGAGAGTGTCTATTTAGTGAGTATTAAAGATACTATATAATAAAACGAGAGTGTCTATTTAGTGAGTATTAAAGATATTATATAATAAAAAGAGAGTGTCTATTTAGTGAGTATTAAAGATGTTATGTAATAAAAAGAGAGTGTCTATTTAGTGAGTATTAAAGATACTATATAATAAAAAGAGAGTGTCTATTTAGTGAGTATTAAAGATACTATATAATAAAAAGAGAGTGTCTATTTAGTGAGTATTAAAGATACTATATAATAAAACGAGAGTGTCTATTTAGTGAGTATTAAAGATACTATATAGTAAAAAGAGAGTGTCTATTTAGTGAGTATTAAAGATACTATATAATAAAACGAGAGTGTCTATTTAGTGAGTATTAAAGATACTATATAATAAAAAGAGAGTGTCTATTTAGTGAGTATTAAAGATACTATATAATAAAAAGAGAGTGTCTATTTAGTGAGTATTAAAGATGTTATGTAATAAAAAGAGAGTGTCTATTTAGTGAGTATTAAAGATGTTATGTAATAAAAAGAGAGTGTCTATTTAGTGAGTATTAAAGATGTTATGTAATAAAAAGAGAGTGTCTATTTAGTGAGTATTAAAGATGTTATGTAATAAAAAGTGTGTGTCTATTTAGTGAGTATTAAAGATAATATGTAATAAAAAGAGAGTGTCTATTTAGTGAGTATTAAAGATACTATATAATAAAAAGAGAGTGTCTATTTAGTGAGTATTAAAGATATTATATAATAAAAAGAGAGTGTCTATTTAGTGAGTATTAAAGATACTATATAATAAAAAGAGAGTGTCTATTTAGTGAGTATTAAAGATGTTATGTAATAAAAGGAGTGTGTCTGTTTAGTGAGTATTAAAGATACTATATAATAAAAAGAGAGTGTCTATTTAGTGAGTATTAAAGATACTATATAGTAAAAAGAGTGTGTCTATTTAGTGAGTATTAAAGATACTATATAATAAAAAGAGTATTTATTTTATTTTTATGTCATGGAATTGCAGGGCTTGAATTGACACGCAAAAAACATATTCCGGTCACGCATCAGTTAGTAGGTGTTTAAAACATACAAACGATCTCAACGAACTTTAAAGGATTTATCAATAATTCCAATTATTCTTGAAGATACTTGAAGCATTTATAAAAGTTTATAAAGAAATTATTACAGAAATGGAAGGTCTAATGGGCACAGCCATTTTGGATTCCGCTCTCGGGGGATCCGCCATCATGACATCATCAAAGCAATTGTGTGGCAAGGAGACCTTCAGATTTTAGACATGAGGAGAATTTTCAGTTCGATATGTTGTTCAGTTTCTTGGAGGAAAGGGTGTTAATTTCAAATGAAATTTCTAAAACCTAATATTTGTATATACCCAAAAGACAATCCAAGACAAATATAATCTATCTACAATTCATGTAAATTTTTTAGGGTGTAGGTTTTTGTGTTTCATGTTATTGTATTTGTGCTAAGTTAATTCATGTTCGAATACAACTCTTCATTTATTTCCTCAAAATTCTTGGCATTCTGAACCCTGGAACGTATGTTGGGCAGGATCGGGTCTTGTGTCACTGGTATAAAGGGGGCAATACGGCCGACGTGTGAATAAGGTATATTACTGTTATTACATCATTTTTGTTATAAATATAATCATTTAATTATAATTATTACAAATCTGGTTTACGAAAAAAGACAATGAAGTTATGAAATTGTATAAATTACAAAAATTCCTAATGTAATAAAGTGTAATCTTAATGGTGTTACATCAAAGAACTATCAAAAATGTAAGTGACAGTGAGCTGTAAACACTATTACCGATTAGCTCAGCTAAAAAATTCCTGTTTCTGAGGCTAAGGTACGATTTGTCAAATGGATGGGGACAGTCTACCTTTAATGTATAACATCATGTTTGTGTGTGGTATGTTTATTGGATTATGACTAAATGACTGAACTATGTTCCATTAAGTACATAATAGTAATCAGTTAGTCCACTGTTAACATAATCTATTGATTTAACTAGTAACCTATAAATATTTTACTATTTTTATGGGTAAATTAACCAGCCGTTACCAAGAGATTGATCAAAATAAAGCATAGACTACTAGTATTCTTGCTTAAGTACAATGACTAAAGTTTTCTGTAACCACTAATTATTTAGAAAACAAAATTCAAATTTTTTCTCTAAAATTTAGGATTTGATTCTGTAGGAAGCATCTATATTTTGTACAAATGAATGCACTTCAGTTTCTCTCTGATTCTCATCATTAACAGTTTATTACTATTTCATTAGATTTTTCTTTCATGTTTTAACTTAAATTTCAAGATAAAAACAAGCACAGTTCTCCATTTGGCTGCAACATTATACATTTGAGATTTTCACCAATTTCCTTGGGAAGGGGTGGGAGGTCTCCTAGAAAAATGGTCTGTACCCCAAATTGTGCTTTGTACTTTTTTGTACTAATATATGTTTCAAAATATTTAACCTTACCATGGCAGGATTGAGTCAATGCCACCCACAGAGCCTTGTTTTAAATCTCAACTTTAGACATTAAGTCAATCTGTCCCCAATTTTACCCCCAATCTCAGGAGACTTGTTCCATCACTGATCAGAACTATAATTCTTGTCAACAACTGAACAGAATTAAATTCAATCCACTAAGAAATTATGTTTCATTATTGCCTCCCCTTGGAGAATAAATGAATTGATGGTTAAAAGTGTCAATGACTGAAACTGCAGGTGTTTCTCAATATTGATTTTAAACATATCCAAAACTATTACACTATTTGTACTGTGTTTCAAATTTTCAGGTTAAACTATATTCTCATAAAGTAATGCAAGGTTACCTATTTCTAAGTGTTTGGTTAAGACAAATAAAGATATTTATCTACTACTATCCAATCCTGCACAGAGATTTTTTCAAACCCTTGAAATTCTGACTCGTCAATAATGAGTAAAATTCCTATATTGAAGTATTTATAAAAGAATAAAGCTAAGATTCCATGTAAGCATCATGTGGATCCGTCATGCGTTAAAAATTGAAATGGTTGGTTTAAGAGGGTATGATTCCATATAAGTGGAAGCAGCATCCGTTAAATGGTCTCCGTCATGCGTCAACAAAAAAAATCGCCAAGTGTAGTGATTTTTGACACACCCGGACGCCTTTCCGCGTTGATATCTCCCAACTGTGACGTAGTTTGTGGGGATTCCCTGTCTTTTTTCCCGCCATATTTTGACAACGAAGATAGGGAAATGAACATACTCGACACAAACTTCTGAAAAACTCATAGAGTTAGTGAAAAAACACCCTCATCTTTACGATAATAGATCGCAATTACACCATGATGCGCATTTCATGTATAATAGCTGGAGCATCATTGCCAGGATCATCATAACCGAAGGAATAAGCATCCATCTGTCTGCACATATGGAATCATATTTGATCCATGACGGATCCCCAAGGGCCATTTATGTCCGCATGACACGTATATGGAATCTTAGCTTTATGCAATTTTCGTACATTTATAGTACTTCAGAGGAATATTTACATATATTTAAGACTCCAATCAACCCCCCAAAATGGTGCATCTGTCCCTTTAATGATAATGTGATGGCACATATAAGTATCATTTATACTATAAAATCGTAGCATTCATGTTATTAGAGTATGGTAATCAATGTGTAATTAGAGGACAGAAGACCTTAAACTAGATTTTAGATAATTATGGAACAAATAGAAATGTATCCATGTATACAATAATAATAAAATATTTTCACTGTTAAAATAGTGCTCAATACATCAATTGTAGAGCAATGAAAAAAATTAAAACAGAACCTGAAACATGTTGTTACTGAAAGTTTGTTCTGAGGTCTTCATATACATGTATTATGAAGTATAAAAATATCTACTTACACTGTAAAATGGTACACAAAACACTTCCATCCAGTAGGTCTTTCTAGAAAATTGTACATCTTATTCTGTAAAGTAGCTCGGACATTATTTTTTAATTTCTGCCTATACTGCGTCTCTAATAACCTGTCCATTTGAGAGATGACAGGTTTATATTCATCCCATCCTTTCGGCTCCGAATCGGAGGTGTTTTGTATACGTGGTGATCCCATTTCGTTCATTTCCATATCAGTCCTTGGAGAGTTCTTGAAAGTCGATGTCAATTGTTGATATAACAGGAAATTCAATTGGCTTTGTGATGACTCTATTGAGGGCCATTGAGAATATGTGAGCTTCAATAATTTTTTCCACACTTCAAACACATAAAAATGAAAGTTGACGCAACTGGTGCGAAATGAAGCGGATGAAAAACTTCTTAAGATACAGACAGTTAACGCTTGTCACCAAAAAATAATTACAGATAGTTTTGATAAGCATACTGATTGGAGTTAATCATTTGTTTTTCACCATTTAAACGTTGCTTGGAAACACATATATAATCAACCTACTCCACTTTGCTTGTATTTCTGATCATGGCGTCATATTCCATATCAATAAGGATAAAATATTTAACTGTGCAAATCAATAAATGCAATAATTCTGTAGTGCATCATTTTTCATACGTGAAGAGTCAATGTTCCATTTATTCCTGAAAAAATAAAAGATAGTCATGAATATTTACAATTAGTGATACACAAAATTAATTCTTGATTGCAACTACATCACATTATAATTGAAATACTCATAACTACATTACATGAAAAAATTTGATCTGAAATGAATGGAATTGTGCTTAAAATTCCAGTTAAATTCAATCTATTTTGGCTTAAAATGCTATAATGTAAATACATGATAATTTTCCAACATTTAGTTGTCATATTTAAAAAAAAACGTAACAAACAATGTCATGAAATAATGTTCATTGTAATGAGCAGCTGACATTTTTTTTTGTATGAACTGAACACACAAAGTTCGTCTTGGATGAACAACACAATTTTCAAAAAATTTAACAAAGGTACATGCATATTAAAAATTAAATTAATAGATCTTATCCTAAGTTAACTGTATTTCCACTGAAAGTGAGTAAAAACAGGGTTAGAGCTAATTTAAAGGTAACTTTTTGCCAAATCAATTTAGTTTCCACTGAATTTGACTTTTTATGAATGATAATTGCCTTGACTAATAATGTTAAAGAATGACATTCTGAAGGTTCAAAACTTTAGAACAAATGCAGCTTGCTTCACTCCAACCATGTGCATGCAGAAGCATTTTGGCATGAGCTGACAAATCCCGCAGTACAGAAATGAATATGGCTTTCATTTGATCTGAATTCCAATTACAGAATGAAAGAATGTTTTTTTTTCCATACATTTTAGTTATGCACTTAATCCAGTTAAATCTCTGGAAAGTAAGCATTTACTCTCTCATTGGAAACAATTTTCATATTTTTACCAGACACACATGATATACCTTAAGTTAAATATTGAGAAATATTCAATATCCATATAGAGATGTCATACAAAATGATTGCCACTACGTGTGTATTATGGTCTACACATTTTAATCTCTACTTAAATAGGACAGCCATTAAAATAAATTAAACATTAATATTTTTAATCAATAAAAATTATTGAAGTTAGATAGGAATAGTTGGTCATAATGTCTGTTGATCACGCCTGTCATAGCTGTAAAAATCATCATCAGACTAGAAAATTGCTAACAACTGACCTTTTCACAAAACAACACATCAAATTTTTTCTTAGTTCAACTTTTTCAAAGAAAAAAATCATAATCACATGCAAGATTCTCAAATCATTTAACAATCTCTATAAGCAATTGCGACAGTCTATAATAGAGCTAGAGCGTGAAATACAAGCAATAAATGAAGGCTTGATTTCAATAATATTTATATTATGTGTATCTGCAGTTTTACAGCACAACTGAACTTGTATGATACTTTTTAACATGACATGATTCACTGATGATGATACCTTATTCAAAGGATGTTGCTAGCTCAAGAGAGTTAGAATCCCAATTCATAATTCAAGGCAATTCATCTGTATAACAGATACGGATAATCTAGGAAAGATCAATGCCAAGAAATTCGGCCAAGGATCAACCATTATAGGATTAAGATTGGCAATGTGACATGACAAGATCTCAGAATAAAAATTCTCTATCTTTCAGCAATAAATGTCTATAGGTTAGATCTGCAACGATTCTTGAAGTTGCGATTCAATACACTATACGATACTCATCCAACGATACAATTTATTACGATAATTATCACGATTCATTTATTAGAGAAGGAAAGAGAAAAAATAGTAGAAATTTGTAACATTACTAACAATTTTGTCAATATTTAGCACTTGAGAACATTTAGAAGTAAGGAATTGTGAAAAAAAAACTAAATTTTTAAAGTCAGAAATGGAAATTTGCAAATTTTGAAGTGAAAGTCATACTTGAAAAATGAAAACATGACACAATTTCTTATACACACAATGATTCTGTATCATTTGTTATTAAAGGGGGCTAAGAATTAATCATGCCAATACATCAAGATTATCTTAATCGAATATAATGCCTCGATAAGATGGAAAGAATCGCAGTTCATCTATTCATCGGTAAAGATAAACAAACTAAATTCCACAAAATCCATAAAAACAAACCAAAAGGTCTTATTACCATGGAAAAGTCACCATATATATGTAAAGTAAAAGGTCAATATACTACCATCTATTATGAAAGCTAAATCCCTCTTGTTACACAATTTGATCAATCAACTATGGGATACCATCTGTTATCTGTTTAAAGTACAAACCAGTCCCTTGGCAATCATCTTCTGTTAGAAATACAGAATTAAAGATAGCAATGTTTTGCTTTAACTTAATGCTGCAAAAGATACAGAAATAACCTCAAGAATTAACAAGTTCTACCCTTACCAATACAACATTTTCCCACAAAAGCAATCTTTACTTTAGTCAGTAGTGTTATCGGGTGTGGCAAATGAATGATCACACAGTGGGTGACGTTTCAAAACTTTATTACAACAAAACTAAAACAAACCTCTGAAAGTACAGTAAGTATGGTTATATAACAATCAGAGAAATGAACTGTAATTCTAATGCCACTGATAAATATAAATAATAAAATATTAAATATACAAAATACATACCCAGAAGTTGGGGGTTTAAACTATCTATAACTAACTATCAAACTGGCAAATATTAAGGTGAAATACCTCAATAAACCAAGAAATAACAATACTCTTATTTAGGACTATATTTATACCATATTAATGTACAATTACTAAAATTCTAAATATTTACAACAATTACCACAACTGAACTTAAAACTGAACTGGAACTATATACAAAATACTTTAAGAATTCAAAATGGCTGCCATACACTTTGCTTATATGACTACTAATAAACTTTCAAAACCTTACAGACCTCAATATACAGACTATTATATTATAAAACATACCTTTAAAATCCAGAACTGATTTATATAATCCTCACACACAATCCATGAAATATAAATATAATAAACAGTGAAATTTGTAAAATACAAATTTCCCGCCAAAAACTGATACAGGGAAAACAGTCCTTTCTACATGAAAACTAAAGGCTAAATGACAAAAAAAGATAGAAAAGTAAGAATATTCAGAGTGATAAGATCACATTGGTGAGTTGAACAGTTGAAGCTCATCAATGGATAAAGTATAGAAGATAGAAAAGAGTGAACAGGTTTGAGTCGATTGTTAGTATTTGTGACTATGTGTTCAGTGTGTAAACATAAAAACCTGTACACTATATTACAGTAAATCTAATTGTACCAATTATGTCCATAGGAATTCTGATAAAGATGGATAATTATATATGATTTTCCTGTTATCAATGAAGGTTACATCCTCTATTCATAAAATGATTATCATAACTCTCTGTTAGCAAACAAACCCCATAACCTACCATCTCTGTTATCAAACAAACCCCAAAAACCTACCATCTCTGTTA